AAAAAAAAACAGTAAAGGAAAATCTCCATCATATTTAAAAATTGTTGATAATTCATTGACATAATATTTTCACATTACTTTACAATCAAGAAAAAAAAATTGTATTAACAGGCAGTAGACCCTGGGCGAGATGGAGTGGGACAATAACCGGGCAATGGGGAGTGGTGAGTCAGACGGTGAGACAGGGCAGGGTTCAGAGCTATTGTATATAGGGCCAATATCAGTCAGATGACTCGACGGTCCATAACATAATAATCACAAGCAACTACAAACACTGGTCATCTAATCAGCATTTTCCTGAGAAATACTAAGGGTGCAGTCACAAAAAGCTGAAACTGGGCTATCACCGGCCTGCTTTTCAGTACCGCAGGCTGCCTAACACCCTTGTTTGCCTTTCCTCTCTTCTTTAGTATTTGTGCAAAAGTAAACGGCAGTAGCCTTCATGCCTTAGGGACTAAAATTACCCAAGGTCGCAGGTGTGTCAGGCCCGCCCGCGAGCGTTCTGCGAGAAACGGCAGCTCTCGCCCAACCAGCCGCGCGGGCGGTCGGAAATCCACCGCCCTGAAGACACGTTCTCCCCGCCCCACTCTGAGGTCCGCTTCTGGGAGGGGTGCGCCCCGGAACCGTTGGGTCTAAGGTTGAGTAGTAGCTGCAGGTTCGCACCTGGTGGAACAGCCAGTGACGTCAAATATCTGACGATTTAGACCTGCATTACCTTTACAGGGAGTGGAACCTCGCCCCTTCTCCAGCACGAAAGTGTCACCTCCCACCTACCATCCCTCACTCCCCAACCCCCGTTAGCGCGCTGGGGAGGTGGAACAGTCTGCGGACAGGACGCCCATCTCCACTCCCATTGGGCGAGAAGATGAGTGACGTAAGGAGGCCCCTCCCCTCCCAGAGCGCCTCTCAGCGCCTGCCTAGTCGCCTGCGCCCTAGGCGCTGACGTGGCGGGGCGGGTGGCGGCGACTCCTCCCCGCGTCGGTAGCCCACTCGTCACTGGCGAGAGAGGGGCGGGGTGGCCGGGGCTGGCGCTCTTCTCGGTCGTAGCTCCAGGCCCGCCCCGGCGCCCCGGCCCCCTGCATGGGAGTATATATTCTCGTCGAGTGCCGGGGGCTGGTGAGTGGCCACGCTGTGGGAGTTGGAGCCAAGAGGATCTGCATCCTCTCCGGGAAAGGTGAGAAGCTCCCAGTCCAAACGTTGCTTTCCCCGCCGCATCGGAGGGCAGCGGCGGAGTCGGGATCCGGCGCGGGCGAGGGCCTGGTCCCACTGCACACACGCCCCCATGCCCACGCGCGCGGACGTGGACACGCGTTGCACGTACGGGCGCTGCGCGGGGTCCGCCTGCACACCCATATCCAATCCTGTGCTCCCCGCGCGCGCATCCTGCTCCCGGCGACCCTGCGGGAGTGAGGCTGGGCTGGCGATGGGAAGAGGGCGCCTCCTAGATGGACGGGGAGCGTGCTGGGGAAAATCCGATTTGGGAATGTGTGGAGCCAGAGGGGATTGTCTGCAGGGTTGGAGTTGGGGACGGGAACCTTGAGGTTCTCAAGCCGGGGTCTTGTGGAGAGCGTTACTGGTGACACTTGGGTCGGGCTGGGAAGGGGAGCCCCTCACCAGGGGCATAAGCGGTCGATAGAATTGTTGGGTGGGAACAAGTTGCAGTGTCTTGACTGGATAAGAAAAAAAAAAAAATTCTTGAGAGCGCCGACCTGGGCAGGAGGTACCTATGGAGAACGTAAGAATGAGGCTGGTGGTGGGAGAAGTTGATTTCTCGGTTTGCCTTCCCTTGGCCAAGCTGAAGGAATAGGATTGGAGGACTGAGGGCTCACATGTGCTAAACATATGGCTTCTTGAAGGTTTTCTTCCTCACCCCACCCCCTCCTCAGAGCAGCTGGTGGACTCAAACTGCCCACCCTTGGGTGGAAGCGAAACTCCCTACCTTTTGGGCCACCAGAGCTCCCACAAAAGCCTTAAATCTGACAAAAATAAAGCATATGCAGATGAATACACAGGGAGAAGGGACAGTCTCTTTCCACATGATCTACAGCCCCTGAAAACTGCTGGGGGTAAGCAATGGGTTGGTCCTAAGCAATGAGTTGCTGAGTTATTAAATGTAAGCCAAATTGCACTGGGGAAGTCGGCTGTCAGGGACCTTTCCAAAGTGCTTGAGAGCAATGATATCAGTCTAGGGACTAAGGTACATCTGATTCAGGTGAGAGAGCTGGCCAATGACGAAGGATGACAGAAGAGGAATTGATGCCTTTGAGTTGTGCTGCTGGAGAAAAGAACATATCAACCACCAGGAGAACAAATAAGTCTTAATCTCCATCTCATGTATTCTGGGCATGCTGCCAAGAGGGATGAGTCCTTGGAGAAGGATGTCATGCTCAGAAGGGTGGAGG